TGCTGGTGACGAGGTTAATGGAGGGTTCAGATTCAGGAACTCATCTCGGATCACAGGGCCGATAAGCGGTGGATCCCAGCCAGGCTCCCCTCGCTTGCGAGCACACGGGTCCCCCGTGCAGAAGGGGTCAGTATGAGCAGACTGCCCGTTCAGAGAAGAGCAGCCATTGCATGGAAATTGCAGGCCCGAGACAGGGCGGTGACCTGCTTGGTGCAGAGACACCCTTAATCAGGCTCCTGGGATTTGCTGGGGTTGCTGTTTGGGAAGGAATGAAGCTGAGATGCTGTTTTTTGGGGGCGGCAGCTGCCAAGCCGGCCCCGACCTCCCCGCCAGTCTGTCTCGCTCTAATGCACTCTGTGGATGCCTGTCCGCCCCAGGGGAGTCTTAATGGACCCACGGAGTCCCAGCTCCAGCTGAACCAGTGGCTCTGTAATGGAGGAGACAAGGTCATTGCCAAGGGAGAGGGAGGTAGAAGACACACACCGTGACTGGCTTCTAGGACACCAATCCATCTTCGCTAATCCTGGGCTCTCACGTCTCCTCCACAATTTTTCTCCTTTTGCTCCAGGTGCCTTGCTCCTGAAGAGCAGGAGCAGGTTTATTTAGGACAAGTGTCCCAGCAATTCCAAGGTGCCACCGTCTCTGCCCTGTGCCCACACAGAGCCGGGATGTTGAGTTCTGTTTTTTAATTCCTTTCCTTCTTCATCCTGTACATTGCTAGTAAGAATTTACTATGTGTCAGGCTTTGGCCCAGGCATGATATTAGGGGTGTGGTAGGTGATTCCTAGGGGCTGAGAGAAGCAGAGGATTTTAGAATACAATCAGAGTGAATGGGGTGCAGTGGCCCACGCTTGTAATCCCAGTGGCTCAGGAGGCTGAGGCAGGAGGATCACAAGTTCAAAGCCAGCCTCGGCAAAAGCGAGGCACTAAGCAACTCAGTGAGATCCTGACTCTAAATAAAATACAAAATAGGGCTGGGGGTGTGGCTCAGTGGTTGGGTGCCTCTGAGCTCAATCCCTGCCCCCACCCTCACCCCCCCCCAAAGTGCCTGAGCCCTGACGAGGGACCTGGCCCAGACCTGGCCTCTCTTGTGGACTCTTGCAGGGCTGTATCTGCACATGCCCATCTCTCCGATAGATTATCGTGAGCATGCTTTGGTATAAGGAAGGAATTCAGGAGCTCCAACTCTGGAACTCAGGAACTCTGAAATCTTGTATTCCAGCCTCCTTGTTTGAAAAGTGAAGAGACTGAGACTCAAGTTCAGAGTGTCTCCAGTCAAGCTTCGACCAGTCCATTCTCTTGTGGGACGTCCTAATGGCCCTGCCTTCCATGGCTCCCCTCTCCAGCATTTGACCTGTGCTGGCTGAAGGTTGAGCTCTTCCTTTCTTCACATCTCTCCCCCGCCGTCTTCCTGCAGTTATTGCCCACGAATCCCAATCTCAGATCTTTCCTCAGTGAAGACTCATTAGTCTGGACTTTTCTGGGAATTGGCCAGATGTCAGGGAGCTCTCACAGGAATCCTTGGAAGATGGACAGAGACTGTTGTCCTCTGCTGGCAAGAGGTGGAACTGCAGTCCTTAGTGGGTGGATCCAACTCAGGAGTTTGGTCTTGAGTTGTGTCTGGGATGCCTTGCCCTGGGCCCCATGGACACCACTCTGATTCAGAGTTGAACTTGAGCAAAAAGCAGCTGTCAATATTTGTCTTTGGAAGTATACCCCACAAATATTTACTGGCCCTGCCGGGTGCAGTGGCACATGTCTGTAATCCCAGAGGCTTGGAAGGCTGAGGCAGGAGGATCACAAGTTCAAAGCCAGCCCCAGCAACTCAGAGAGACCCTGTCTCTAAATAAAAGCTGGGGGTGGGGCTCAGTGGTTATATGCCCCTCGATTCAATCCCTAGTACAAAAAAAATTGGGGGGGAACCTGATATACACACAGCAGAATGAAATTGGAACCTTACTTTATACTACTTGCAAAAATTAATTCAAAATGGAGTATAGACTTAAAAGCAAGACCTGAACCCATAGGATTCTTAGAAGAAAGCAAAAGCAGTTCTGACAAACTGAAAAGTTTCTGCACAGCAAAGTAAACAATCTCAATGGAGAGAAAAAACAGATTATCAAATGTCAGAAAAGAGTCCTCAGAGAAGGGTCAATATCTTAAATATATAAGAAACATCAACAGCAAGGAAACAAAGAATCTAATTTAAAAATCAGCAAAGGACTTTAAGAGACCCTTCTCCCAAAAAAGACACACAAATGGCAAATAATATATGAAAATATGTTCGACAACTAATCATCAGGGAAATGTAAATCCAGCCGCCATGAGATAGCACCTCACCTCTGTGAGCATGGACGTTATCAAAAAGACAAATGATGGCAAACATCAGTGAGACGTGGATAAGGGGGAAGGCTTGCACACCTCAGACGGGGAGCCAATTAGCACAGCCATTATAGAAAACAGTATGAATGGTTCTCCAAAACAGGAAACCGGAACTCCTGGGCTACCCAGCAATTCCACTTCTGTGTATAAACCCCAAAGAAATACCAAGATTTCAGAGACACACCTGCACTCTGGGTTAACTGCAGCATTATTCTGTTGGCCTGTATGGCTGTTTTCATGATAATACCGTGCTGTTTTTGTACACGTAATACATGTGTATGGGTGTGTATATAAATACATACATAGAGGTAGACATGTCATATATAAGTAATAGGTCTCTGTGTCTGTGTTTCCGCCTCCACAGGGTCAACCCCTAGTGGATCCAAAATATTCCAAAAAAAGACATCTATATTGAGCAAGTACAAACCAAACAGTACAGAACACTTGTTGACAGCATTTATGTTATATGGGGTATTGTAAGTAATCTAGTATTCAAAGTGTACTAGAGGGTGGGCTTGGGCTACATGCACCTACTACACCATTTTATGCAGGGCATTGAGCATCTACAGATTTCTAGTCTGTAAGGGGACCTGGAAGAAATCGCCCCATTATACAAGGGTGTGTATGGGTGAAAATATATATATATTTGTGTGTGTGTGTGTGTGTGTGTGTGTGTGTGTGATGCTGGGGATTGAACCCAAGGCCTTGTGCATGTGAGGCAAGCACTCTACCAACTGAGCTCTATGCCCAGCCTCTTGAATATGTTTATATATATATTGGAATATATCCATGTACCTACGTGTGTGTATATATAATGGAACATTAGGCAGCCTTAAGAAAGAAGGAAATTCTGCCATTTGTGACATCATAAATGTCCTGGGGGACATTATGCTAAGTGAAATGAGCCGAGCAGAGGCAAATCCTGCATGATCTCACTTATATGTGGAATTGAAAAAGGTCAAGCTCAAAAGCAAAGTGGCGTAGTGGGTGCTGCAAGCTGGGGCAGAAGGGAAGGAGTGACAGCCAAGGGCAGCAGGGGCTGGGGTGGCGCAGAGGCAGAGCGCTTGCCTGGCCTGCCTTGCAGCCCTGGGTTCCGTCTGCTGCATTGCCAATGGACAAAAACAAAGCAAGAAGGGGTGTAACAGCAGGGAGACCTCTGGTGGGCTCCTTCTGTATCTTTTTATTTTTCAAAAATGTTTTTTAGTTGTAGATGGACACAATATCTTTATTTTACTTTTTTATGTGGTGCTGAGGATCGAACCCAGGGCCTCGCACGTGCTAGGCGAGCGCTCTACCACTGAGCCCCAGCCCCAGCCCCAGCCCCAGCCCCATTCGGTATCTTGATTCTAGTGATTACTCAAATCCACACGTGATCCAATGGCAGAATGATAGAGCCATGCACGCACTTTTTACCAATGTGAATCTCCCAGGTTTGACACTGTATTATAATTATGTAAGAGGTAACCATGGGGGAGACTGAGGAAGGGTGCACCTGATCTCCCCATGTTATTATTATAATTATTATTATCTTTGTGTTGTTGGAGATGGAACCCAGGGCCTCACACATGCTAGGCAAGCACTCTATCACTGAGCCACATCCCCAGTCCTATTGATTTATTCGAGACAGGGTCTAAGTTGCCCAGGTCTGTCTCCAGGTTGTGATCTTCCTGTCTCAGCTCCACCCCTTCCCCAGATGGGCGCCACCGTGACCATCCCTCTCCATAGGCTGCAACCCCTGTGAATCTATAATTATTTCTTAAAAAGAATTTACTTGGGCTAGTTAAGACATTGACCTCCTAGGGTTAGTAGGTAGAACCTATTCATGTTCATTGATTAGTATTTGGTTTTCTCTTTTTCTTTCTGGGATTTTTTGTTTGTGTTTTGGGTACTGGGGATTCAACCCAGAGGTGCTTTACCACTGAGCTACATGCCCAGCCCTCTTTATTTTATTTATTTATTTTTTTAAATTTTGTGATAGGGTCTTGTTAAGTTGCTTAGGGCCTCACTAAATTGCTGAGGCTGGCCTCAAACCTGCAATCCTCCTGCCTCAGCCTCCTGAGCTGCTGAGATTATAGGCATATACCACAGCACCTGACTGTTTTTGTTTTCTAAAAACATTTCCCGTACGGTGAGGCAACAGGTACCCAGCATGAATGGACTGTGAAATGTTAGGCAGGGTTTACTTTTCCAAATAACCTAACTTACCTTTCTCAACAATGTTAGAACATATGCCAAGCCTTTTGACAAAATGTATATAAATTTGTCTTTTTGCAATTATGGAACAACAACAACAACAACAATAAAACAGTAAAATTCAATAACAGGGTCAGTTCAGGGGTTAGGGACCTGCCAGGCAGCTGGTTAACGCATACTGACTTGGTTTCCTTTCCTAGGGGAAAAAAAAATCAACTTCTAATCCATTAATAATTTTATCAACAACAAGTCAAATCTTCATGAAAAACCTTTATTTAAAAAAAAAGAAGAAAAACTCTGGTGGAAATCATGCTTCCCTCCCTGCCAGGAGGCCCTCTGCAGAGATTGCCCCAGCTCCACCAAGGGGAACAGGGCCAAGAGCAGGGTCCAGGCGTCCCTGGACTGGAAACTCAGCAGAGTCACGATTATTTCTGAGCTTCCAACAGAGAAATGTATCTCTGCACCCATTTTTCCTTCGGTTGGACGCAGACTCTCTCACCTATTTTAGTGGTGAATCTGTGAAATAAAGACAGAAGTAAGTGACTAGGGAGCCCTTGGCTTCCCTTGGGAGAAGGGGGAGAGGGCAGGGCAGCTCCCTGGCTAGCCTTGCCACCCTCCCACAGGCCTGCCACACTCTGTCCCTACCCCCTCTTCTCCCTGCTCTTCTTCCTCTCTGTTCCCATAGGAAGCCAGGCTCAGAGAACCCCCTCCCCAGGAAGCACTTGCCCACAGGTCTAATCTGTAACCTGTGTCTTGCACCTGCCATTTACAACAGCCTTCCCGAGACACAATTCACACACTATTTTACTCATCCAATTAAAGTGAGTCACAACTCCATGGCTTTTAGTATATTTATAGCTTATGCAGCTGTCACCAAGATCAGTGGGAGAATATTTTCCTCACCCGGGAAATGGACCCACACCACCATTCCACTTAATTCTCATCTGCATCATCTTGGGTTGCTCACTGTAGCTGTTTAAATGTGGTTCTTGCATTCCTTACTGTGAGCTTATTAAAAATGGGGAGTAGGGTTATACAGTGGAGGGGGTAGAGAGAGAGGAGGGGAGGGGAGGGGAGAGGTGGGGAGGGGGGATGGTGGAGGATGGGAAGGGCAGCGGAGCACAACGGACACTAGTATGGCAATATGTAAATCAATGGATGTGTAACTGATGTGATTCTGCAATCTGTGTATGGGGTGAAGGTGGGAGTTCATAACCCACTTGAATCAAAGTGTGGAATATGATATGTCAAGAAATTTGTAATGTTTTGAACAACCAACAATAAAAAATTAAAAAAAAATGGGGAGTCATGGTTGATGTCCCCAAGTCTCCAACTCTGAGCTCCCTGAGAACACTCAGAAGGGCAAGAAGAGAGGTTGGGGATACTCTAGAATGGCACAGGTTTGCAGGGACCAGTGATGTCTACAGGGCTGGCTGGCTGGCCCTGGCACATGCAGGGCAGAGGAGCCAAAGGCACAGGAAAACAAGGGAGAGGAAGGACCCTGTGACAGTCTGCAAGTGTGACTGCAGATTTCTTTGACATCACTCCCATTGACAGGTGGAGGCTCGTGTCCCCTCCCCGTGAATTTAGGCCAGGCTGAGGGACTGCTGGCTAAGAGAATATGATGGAAGTGATGCTATGTGACAGCTAAGGCTGTGTCACACAAGGTGGGAAAGCTCTCATGCTGGAAGCTTGGACCTCCTCCTAAGTCCTACCGCCATGCTGTGAGGAAGCCCAACCAGCCACACAGAGATGCCCGCCAGCCCCCAGCCAGGCTGGTTCTAGCACCCTCGGACTTCAGTTATGTGAGCCACCACCATCTAGCCAAGCCTTCTGGAATTCCTGACTCTCAGAAGCCATGAGAAATAAGAAAAGTATCATCATCGTATTGGGTGGTTTAATATGTGGTCCTAGATAACTGATAAACACCTGTCCCCTTCATTTTAGAATGGAGGAATCTTGTCTTGTCCAAGGTCCCCCAGCTTGAGACAGAGTTCTGCTTTGACCCCAGCTCAGGGACTTTGCCAGCTGTGGGTTCAGTGTGGATGTCTTTAAAGTCCCAGAAAGCCCCTCAAGACCCGAAGGAGAAGAGCCGGGACCTCCTGAGCCCTGGAGCTCCCCAAACTCTGTGCAGGCTCTCAGTGTCCTCGTCTCTACCCTCGACTCTGTCTAAAATGATGACATTCAGGTTTGTACCCAGAGCCCCCTTCTCTTCCCGCTGCATATTCTCTGGTGATCAGGAGCCTTGGTTCCCGCTTGGGGCTTGCTCCTGGAGGCAGCTTCCATTTCTTGACCATGTGCTGTGTCCAGTCCCGGGGCTGAAGGACTTGCATACATGACCCTATTGAATCCTGCCAGGAGCCCCGATCCTGTGTCAGCTCCCTTGTTACCCTGACCCCGCTTCCTGGCTGCCTCTCCCCCTTGTCAGGCTGACAGTTCATCCTCCCCCCTGCTTCTGGCTCATCCCATGCTCCTCGGTCCTCTCTGGAATGTCCTCCCACTCATCCTTGGGGTCCCTTCCTTAAGGAGACCTTCCAGATGCCAAGTCAGGTCCTCCTGGCACTGTGACAAGCTCCTTCATCCTCTCTCTCTCTGTCTACTCATCACGACCGAGATCAACTCTTTTGTGCAAATACCTTTGCCCCTTTTCTTTCATGAGCCTGCGGGGTCTGCAGGTCACGCAGTGCCTGGCCCATGGTGTGAATGGCAGGCTCCAAACAGAGCTCAGAGTCATGCATGTTGTCACAGAGGCAGGACCCAACCCAGGAGCCCAGGTTTCTCATTCTGCCGCTGAGGGGGTCTGCTGGGTACCCCCATCCAGTGACGTGGCCGGCCTAGGGACCCTGAAAGCACGCCCAGGAGATACTCACATCACGCCCTGCTGGGGGCAGCTGATCTGGGTGAACTGGTAGGCTTGCACCCAGTTCCAGGGAATCATCTTATGGCTGTACTGGAAACAGCATGACTTTTCCGTGTCACTATCTCCTAAAAACAGGAGGGAAGCTTGAGACCGTCCTTTCTGGAAAGGAGCCCCCGGGAAAGGGTGGGGCAGCTACATACGTAGGACGTACGTGTGGACGCTCAGGAGGAAGGCCAGGAGAATGGGAGGAACCAGGGGAAAGCTCTTCATGGCCCTCGGAGCTGGGCCCTTCCCAGATGTCTGCCGAACTGCTCCTGTCTGACCCCCTTTTAGGAGGCTGAGCGGTCCCTGAAGAGAATTCCAGAGAATTTTGTGGTTGGAAACAGAAGTGGCTTTTCTTGGCTGAACAATGGACTCGTAACCCACAGCCCAGGGAAGGGGGGCCAGGGTTGCCTGGGAGGAGCAGAGGGGCTCTGGCCACCAGTAGGAGTCTCGGGCCCGGGGACACAGGCCGAGTCAACGCTTTCTGGATTGAAAAACGGAAGTGGAGGAAATGAAGAAATATTCCAGTGAACTGACCCAAGTCACTCGACAGCTCACTTGGTTGTTCCTGATAGATTTCTGGCTCTCGGGAGGTTTTGTTTGCCTTCTGAACATTGCTTATCTCTTGGTGAGGCCTAACTGGTTTCAGATGTCAGCAGAAAGCAGCCCAACCAGGGATGACCAAGAGCCATGGTCCAGGCCTCCAGGCCTGTGCCCTCACGGTGCCTGAGCCGCAGCCATGCCAGAGCTGGTGGGGGCCACTTGAGACCTCGCATCTAGCTTAGAGGGTCTCTAAACTGGGAGATTATGCCAATCACCTGGAGGTTTTACAACTATATATTCCCCTGCTCTGTCCTGGACCTCCAGGGTGACCCATGGTTCTGTATTTTAGGCAAATCCAGCTAAAACAGGGAAAGAATGTTCTAGAAAGGTTGGTGACATCTGCGCAGGAGAGTCTGAGGGGCAGAGCAGGACTATCAGGCCAGAGCTCAGTGTTTCCCACATCCTAATATGCCCCTAAAATATGCCCCTTTAACACCTGAGTTTTACAGGAGGGAAAAGGGTATCGCCAGGCACAGTGGCACACATCAGGGATCCCAGAGACTCTGGAGGCTGAGGCAGGAGGATCATAGGCTCAAAGCCAACCTTAGCGAGGCTATAAGCAACCTAGTGAGACTCTGTCTCAAAATAAAAAAAAAATACAAAGGGCTGGGATGTGGCTCAGGGGTTAAGTGCCCTTGGTTTCAGTCCCTGGTACCACACACACACAAAACAAACAAACAAAAAAAAAAAAAAAACAGAAAGAAAGAAAAGAAAAGGAGTATTGACCATATATTGAATCATAGAATTTTCCATGGAGAGATGGGACCACTAATTTCTTTTAGTTCAACCCTTTTCAAACACCTCTCTTATAGATATTCAGATTGTTTTGACTGCTTCGAGTGCCAGGGATCTTACTACCTAACCCATCCTAACCCAGGATGGCTGAGACTAAGATGGGGTTCTTTCAAGTTTTTTTTATTTATTTTTTGGAGGGGGTACCGGGAATTGAACTCAGGGGCACTTGACCACTGAGCCACATCCCCAGCCCTATTTTGTATTTTATTTAGAGACAGGGTCTCACTGAGTTGTTTAGCATCTCAGTTTTGCTGGGGCTGGCTTTGAACTTGTGATCCTCCTGCCTCCACCTCCCAAGATGCTGGGATTACAGGCGTGCGCCACTGTGCCCAGCATTCAAATTCTGCACAAAGATGCATATTTTCTCCTCTTTTGGAAGACGAGGAGGTTGGGGTTGAGGCAGATTTGAAGACTGTCATTTTAGTTTGGGTTCTTCTGAGGCAAGGATTCCAGGGCAAGTGATTGCGTGAGTATGTGTGGGGGGAGGGGATTTGATTTGATGTGGTTCCAGAAGATACCAGTAAAGGAAGGGGAAATCCAGGCAGGGAAGAAAAGGTGGTAATGCAAGATGAATCATCAAACGGGCTACTTCCCTGAGTGGACAAAGCTCACCTCCACTGGGAATTCTGGGGAGTGGGACCTCTACTGGCCACCTCTGGCATACCATTGAGAATAGATAGCTGTGTATGCAAGGGACCCATGTTTCACCGACAAATGCTAAGCACTAACCATAAAGAGGAAAAGTTGACAAGCTGGTCCCTATTAAAATTTGGAAGTTTTACTCATTAGAAGATACAGTTAAGAAGTAGAGGTAATCTGCAGGGTGGAATAAAACATTGTGAATACCTCTCTGCTGGGTTGAATAATCCCCCCTCCCCATAGGCACATCTACCCAGGACCTTAGAATGGGACCTCATTTGGAAGAAGGGTCTTTGCAGATGTAACTAGTTAAGAGATCAGAATTAGGGTGGGCTTTAAATCCAATAAGTGTCCTTAAGAGTAGGCCACTAGAGCTAGGCGCGGTGGCACACGCCTGAAATCCTAGCAGCTGGGAGGCTGAGACAGGAGGATTATGAGTTCAAAACCAGCCTCAGCAACAGGGAGGCGCTAAGCAACTCAGTGAGACCCTGTCTCTAAACAAAATACAAAATAGGGCTGGGGATGTGGCTCAGTGGTCGAGTGCCCCTGAGTTCAATCCCTGGTACCCAAAAAAAGAGCAGGCCACTAGAACAGAGAGACGGGGAAGGCCAGGGGAGTCAGAAGCAGAGACTGGAGCAAAGGATCTACTCCTTTGCTGGGAATGCTAAGGATTGCCAGGAGCCACCAGGAGGAAGGAAGAGGCAGAGGAGGAGTCTTCCTGTCGCCTTCGGAGGGGTCACGGCCCTGGACTTCAGACTCAGGCCTCTGGACCCATGAGAGAATAAGTTTCTGTTGTTTTATGTGCCATCCAATCCATGGCAATTTGTTACCACAGCCCTAGGAAATGAATATGGTGTCTATCTGCAAAGGGATTCTGTTCTCAGAATACATAAAGAGCACCATAAATGAACAAGAAGAAGACAATGTGTTGGGAAAATGGCTGAGTCTTGAACACTTCACAAAAGAAGGAATCCACACTGCAAATAAAAGGGACTTCATTTTATCAACCACAGAGAAATGCAAACTTAAACCACTGTGCACGTGCCCGCCAGAATGGCTACAGTAAACAGCACCAAATGTTAGCGGGGATGACTCACAGCCAAGTCACGTAATTGGTAGTACAGTGGCACAGTCAATGAGTGATAGAACAACTCTGAGAAATTTGTCATTAGTCAATTTTGTCATCCTGTGAACAGCATAGAGTGTACTCAACCAACAAAGACTTTGGCATCACCAGGCGATACAATCATACGGAGACCACCATCATGTACATGATCCATCATTGCTCAAAACATTTTCATTCAGGGCATGATTGTGTATTTCATAAAGCTAAAATTTCACATACTTGATAATCCAGAAATTTAACCCTTAGGTATGTATATGCCCACCAGAAATATGTACCTACGTTCACCAAAAGATTTTTTTAATTGTAATTTTTTGCAATGCTGGGGATCCAACCTGGGACCAGATGCATGCTGGGTGAGCACTGAGCTACACCTCCAACCCTTCACCAAAAGACATTGACTGCAACACTCCATACTTTTTTTTTTCTTCAAAGCAGCAATATTTGTAGTAGCCCCAAACTGGAAACTGCCCAGATGTCCATCAATAGTAGAATGGAAAATAGTCATTTGTTTACATAATACGATGCTGTACAGCAATTAAAATGAACTATGATGACACACTGTCATATGGACGTGTCTCACATCCTACCTCAGAAGAAGCCCGATGCAAAAGAGTAATATCTTAGGCGTCCGTGGGTATCAAGCGCCAAACAAGCAAAACTAACCTATAATGATGGAAATCAGGATAGTGATGGTGCTTTGGGGGTCAGTGACCGGATGGAGGCTCAAGAGGCAGTTCTGGGGGGGCTCTGCTTGTCCCCTGAGCCAGAGGCTGGTTCACCTTTGTACTCTTGTGAAAATTCACTGAGCTGAACTTTTCTGATCCACACACTTTTCTACACACAGAGATGAAGCAGAATGATATTTCAGTCGATGGTGGGGCCACAGAGGTGACAGTGTCCCCGAGAATTGCAATACAGTTGAAGAATTCCTACCAGCTGATGCCATCATGGCTGTCAAATCGCCACAGCGCAAGGCATTACCCACACGTTTATGGCAATGCTGGTATAGACAAACCTACTACTGAGCTGCCAGTTGTATCAAAAGCATAGCACAGTCGGGCGTAGTGGCGCACGCCTGTGATCCCAGCGGCTGGGGAGGCTGAGGCAGGAGGATCGTGAGTTCAAAGCCAGCCTCAACAATTTAGCAAGGCCCTGTGCAACGCAGCGAGACCCTGTGTCTAAATAAAAAGAAAAAGGGCTGAGGGTGTGGCTCAGTGGTGCCCCTGGGTTCAATTTCTGGTACCAAAAAAAAAAAAAAGAAGCCACCCGGAGAGACCAACCTACACCACTGGGGTTTCTGTGTTTCACTGGATTCATCCCTGTTGTGAAGTGATCTGTGACATTTTGATGAAATAATGATGAGGAAGGAAATCTATGTGCTAAATTAAACAAAACAAATAATGTGGTTAAAGGAATTGGGGTTTTTTGTTTTGTTGGTGCTAGGGTTTTAACTCAGGTTGTTCTACTACTGAGCCGCATTCCCAGCCCTTTTTATTTTTTTTATTTTGAGACAGGGGGTCTTGTTAAAGTGCTGAGAGTCTCACTCACTTGCTGAGGATGGCCTCAAACTTTTGATCCTCCTGCCTCAGCCTCCCGAGCAGCTGAGACCAACTGCATGGCCACCTGCATGACTAAAGGAATGTTTTATAGAAGCCACCACTTTCCATTCCCCCTTCCCCGACCCCCCCTCGGTATTCAGAACGTCTTTCATTTTAAGGAATGATGGCTGACTGTCACAAATCACCCCACTTCTCCTTGTGCTTCACCAATGGGGTCCATTCCCTGAAACCTTCCTCCTTGAGTGAGAGCCCTTCCTTCGGTCCCTACCTCCGAGCAAGGTCTGCATCCTGCTTCCACACCCTGGGGCTGCCCAGTCAGGTGGGCCTGGAAAACAAATCTCTGACCTGTACAAACCTGGGCCTTGGATCCAGCACCGCTTCCAGACTCCCTGCTCTGGAGTGAGCCTTAGCTGTCCAGTCCCCGGGATCCCAGGCGCCCCGTGAGCCCAAGTCAAGACCTCCTCTCAGCCTAAACAATGATCTCTGCGAAGAACCCCTTCCACATAATGTCACATTCTGAGGTTCCGGGTGGACAGTGAATTCTGGGGGATCTTGTTCAGCCCAGGATGGGTATATTTAGAAAATCTCCCAACTGCCTTTCTATTCCCTGACAGGTATCTTCTAATGAACAAAAGTCCCAAAGTTTAATATAGTTATTAAGTCCCTGTCCCCCTTTATGATTAGTGATTATAATTTCCTGTTCG